GACTAATGTTCTCCCATGTTGACTATCACACAATTCACAATAAAACATTTATTTAATAATTAAAAAAACACACACACACAGAGGGAATAGAAGCAAATACTGTTGAATGATGATGTATGAAGGAGATTGTAATCGCTGGAATGGAACAATGAGTGTAAAACTGATGCTTTCCCATGTAAACTATCACTCAATTCACAATTAAAAACTTTAAAATATAAATAAATAAAATAAATCTGATTTCCCTCTTTTGTATTTTGAAATGAAGACATATTAATTTTATTTTGAGGTTACCCTGTCATTTATTAATTTTTTCCCCATTTAAAACAGTCCGTTTTATCTTGAAATTGACTTGACTTCCTTATCATTTGAAAGTTCTGTATCTACACTATTCCCTCTTTTTGCTTTGTTGTTGTTGTTGTTGTTAAGTGCCATCAAGTCAGTTCTGACCAATAGCGACCCTGTATAATGCTTCCAAGGAGCAACTGGTGGACTTGAACTATTGACCTTGCATTTAGCTGTCCAGTGTTTATCCTACAGCATCTCTGCATTATAAATTGATATCACTGTTTCCCGATTTTCAGTCTTGTAGGTTCATTTTACTTTAAATACTTCTATATCTGGATTGAAGTCCTAGTGCGGCACTATAGGTTAAGCACTCGAGCACAAGGTCAGTTTGAACCACAAGAACAGCAAGATCAATGGTTCAAACTCACCAGCTACTCTTCAGAAACCCTTTACAGTGTCGCTGTGAGTTGAGACTCGATGGCACTCAACAACAACATACCTGGATTGAGTTCTCTGTGGTGTTGTCATGTATGAAAAGCTCAGGTTTCTGTCTGCTGTTGTTGGTTCTCAGACCAAAGAGTACCCTTTAATACTTTTGGTAAAATTAGTCTGGTTATTATAAATTCCCTTAACTTCTGCTTATCTGGAAATGTCCTAATTTTGCCATCATATTTGAGGGACAGCTTTGCTGAGTATATTATTCTTCTATCATACCAGTATTTAGAGATTTGTCTTCAAGCTCACTAATTCAGGCTTCCATTGCTTCCAATCTACTCCTTTACCCTTTCCATGTGTTGTCAATTTCTGAAATCTTAGTATTAATCTTCTGGATTTCTAATTGTAGGTTTTGTATTTTTCAAAAATTCGCATTTATTTTGTCTGTTTGTTCTTGTATTGTTTTCCTGAATACTTCTAAAATCTTTTCTGTGTTCTTCTTGTTTACCTTGATCTTTCTGTCAGTCCTTTGAAAGTACCTAAATAGTATCTCTTTGTAATCATTTTCAGTTAGCACTATTACCTTTTCTTCCTCAGAAACATTTTCTGACTCCACATCTTGGTCATTTGTTTGAATCATTCTCTCTTATGTCATGTCAGCTAAAATTGTCTGTTTTCTCTGGAACATTGTGGTGTTGTCATATCTGTATTTAATTGGTGAATGTATGTTGATGTGTTGTTAGGCTCTCACTGACTGTCATGTGTGGGTGTAGTTAGAGCATGGGAGAGTGTGCACCATTCCACAGTCACTGCGAATGCGCCTCAGTGTAGGGTGAGTTTGGCTCTTGTTGACTGCTGTGTATTGTTGAGCAGGGAGTTTAGAAGCTGATATTAGCTCTCACCTAGAAGGTAGAACCACAGAGGGCACGGTTGTGACTGGGTTGGGTGGGCACAGTTGCTGTCTCTAGTCGTGTATGAAAGAGGAGAAAACCCTTCCCATACCACACACCACACACACAAGAAAACAAAACATAGCAGGTGACCAACAATGAAAAGAGAAAATAATAAAGGAAAAATAAAAACAGGCAGCAACCAGGACAAAGATAAATATATAGCTTTTAAAAGGGGGCCAGAAAAGTGGAGCTAAAGATAAGAAAAATAGAGAGAAAATTAAAGGAGAAAATGTAAATCACTGAGAAAAACCAGAGCAAGGGAAGACGGAAAAAGAAAAAGTAGAGGGTAGTAAAGAAAGACCAAAAGGAAGAAATGGGGAAATGAGAAACAGAAGGAAAGGAAAAATAAAAGCAGAGATAGAAGGGATAAAAATTAAGGGAATGGAAAGAGAAGGAAAAGAAAGAATAAATAAACCAAAATGAAACAATGAAAGGAAAAGACAAAACAAAACAGTGCAGCTGTTGAACCCAGAGAAAAGAAAATTCTAAGGGGGCTCCTTCCAGTTGAGGAGTTCATGAGGTGGACGTATAAGAGGTGTGACAGCAGAGTTCCTGGTCCTAGGTGGAGTTCCTATAGACCTAGGTGTTATCTATGTTCAGAGCACTCAATCTAGAAGTCATTTGTGGAGGCGCTGGATGGAGCTAGTTTCAGTATCTGTTAGGACCACATTGCATCTGGGGACAGGATGGCTGGTTATGAGGGGTTCTGCTAGACTAATGCTGGTCTGGTGGCTCTGTGGGTTCTATGGATCTGGAGTTGAGCCCACCTAAATCCAGGCAGCAAATCTGCTCAGCCGGTTGCTGCTTCCCACTGGCAGGACTCATAACCAGAGAGCAGTGTCTGTACTCGGGATGGATGAGGGTGGGAGATGGCCACACCTCTGGACACCAGGGCAGCATGGGCACCTTCCTGTCACCTGTGTGAATCTGCTCTGCCAGGCCACCTTCTGTCACCAAAGCTGCTCACAAAAGTTCCAGATGGCCGTGCCCTATCTGGCCAGCCATTCACCACAGTGCGTTGCTCTCTCACCATCCCTGCTCAGTTTCTCCTTCCAGCAAACACTCAATCCGCTTCTCTAAGCTTTACTCTGAGGTTCAGGCTTCCAGGATTCACATCTGTGTCTGTTTCATTAGGTCGTTCATATCTTTGTTATGGTGGTGGTTATGTGCCATGGAGTTGATTCTGACTCATAGCGACCCTGTACAGGGTTTCCAAGGCTGTAAATCTTTACGAGTGTAGAAAACCTCATCTTTCTCCTGCAGAACAGCTGGTAGTTTCGAACTGCTGACCTTGCGGTTTGCAGCCCGATTCACAACCACTACGCTACCAGAATTGTAGAGGGTCCGTTTAGTGTATCTGTCTAGTCCACCATCTTGCCAGAAGTCATCAAGGTCTGGGGTTTTTAAATCTATCTAACAACACAAAATGCTAGTCACTGCCCTGGGGACCCAAACATGGATCGATCCCTGCTGCTATTACACCGGCTTCTGGGGAGCTGGATCCAGAGCTTACTCATTTAGATTCCTGGATTCCTCCGCGATTACAATTCATGATCAGAAATGCTCAGGGCGCAGTTGTTCCAGTCAGCTACAGTTCCAGTCCTGTCACAGGACACACCTCTCCACCATAAGCCTCAGCCTAGCTACTGCACTTCAGTACCTGGAGGCACCCCACTCTACAAGCAAGCTTCCTGCTCCGAGTTACTAAGCTCTACTTGCTCCATGGGCTGGGAGATCACTGCTCTGTCTCATGCTCTGGTTCTTGGTTCTGCTGCTCCTCCTCTGTCATTCTGGTGTCACCGCTTTCTGCCGCTGGGCCAAGGATGTTCAACGCATGGGGATCTCAAGAACCAAAGGACACGCTCTCCTCTTGACTCTCCTTTGATGGTAGTGAGATTCCCACTCCTGCTTCTGAGATGGCTCATTTTAAACCCACGCTAGAAGTTCAAGTGTTTACAATTACAGTGAACACTGCTGAATCATGTCATCCTATCAGTATCTTCTCCCACTTTCTCTTACCCAGACCCAGCAGGGCAGAAACATTGTTTGGTGGGAGTTAGAAGCTATGGCTAGAGGGTACATTACATAGTTCGCCACACACTTCCCATCCTTTACTTTCATGTTCTTTTCTAGCCTCCACCAGGAAGTATGCATGATCAGGAAGTGACCTCTCCCTCTGCTGACATTTGATGGTATTTATTGCTGATAGCTCTCCCATCGCACTTACTTATCATTTACTGGCAGGTGTTACAGCCATCTGTGGGTGTGCCCACAATGGAAAGGGAAAGTGACATCATAGCACTTGTATCTGGGGCTGTGGCCACTTTGCCTCTAGAACCAGGGGAGCCCTAGCCCCACTCAGGGTGAAAAACAAAACAAAACAAAAAAAAAAACACCAAACCAACTCGAGTCATTTCTGACTCACAGTGACCCTATGGGACACAGTAGAACCAGGGTTCCCAAGGCAGTAAACCTATACAGGAGCAGACTGCCACAGCATTCTCCCACAGAGCAGATGATGGGTTCGAACTCCAGAACTATTAGTTAACAGCCAAGTGTTTAGCCACTGTGCCACTAGTACTTCCCAGGAGATGGACAAGTATGGTTGCTGGAGGTCCCCTACTTCTGCCTTAGGCTCCTCCATCCCTACAGTGGGGCCAGATTTTGTGGAAAAACTGGAGGGCTTAAAAGGAAGAAGCACAGTAGCAAACACTTCATCCATTTATCTCACTGTGTTACGCTGGGAACCACTACGGTGTCCACTAGAACCTTTCTTTAGGCTGTACACATGCAACAGAGACCCAGAGATGGCTCCAGAGCTGAATAGGTTTCAAGCCACTTGCTGGAGTTCAAGGTGACAAGAGGGCTCCTAGGAAGAAGAAAGGGGTGGGGAGCTATGTGAGGACCGAGAGCCAAATTGGCTCAGTCTTCAGGAACACCCACCATTTGAGCCCCTTCCTGGAATCTTATTCCACAGACCAGATGACACTGAAGTGGGGTCCATGTGAGGTCAGTGAAAGACATGATCTCTCTCCAATATTTCATCATTGTCACAGGTATCTGGAATAAGACCTGACTTCAGGAAAGTTCAGGATAAGGGAAAGTGCTGAAGATATGGCCAGGGAATCTAGATCACGGGACTAGGCTAGGGATATGATGTAAAGTTGAGTTCTGAGATAGGGGAGGGGAAGACAGCATTAAATTTAAGCTAATTCAATATGAGGGTATGGTCAGCTTTTACTGTTGTGGGTATCTGAGAGAACCCAGCCACCACTCAACTGTCCGTCTGCCATCCTGTGGTGCTTTGCATGTTGCTGTGATGCTGAAAGCTATGCCACCAGTATTTTATAGCAGAGTCACCATGGTGGACAGGTTTCAGCTGAGTTTCCAGGCTAAGACACGGAAGAAGGAGAGGTGGACTACTTCCAAATGTTTAGCCACTGAAAACTTTATAAATAGCAGTGGAACACAGTTGGATAGCGCAAGAATATTGTCAGACACAGCGCTGGAGATGAGAACCTCAGGTTGGAAGGCCCTCAAAACACGCCTAAAGAATAATTGCTTCCTCAAAGGACCGTTGGCTGTGAGGACTGTGGACTTCATCTGTTTACAGAACGCAAGTCCAAATGAGGAAAAATCGCTGAAAATATCCATTAGTAATCAGAACACGGAACATGCAAAGTATGAATCTAGGAAAATTGGAAATTGTGAAAATTTAAATGTAATGCATAAAGATTGATATCCTAGTCATTGGTGAGCTGAAATGGACTGGTATTGGCCATTTTGAATCTGACAATCATATGGTTTATTCTATCAGGAATGACAAATTGAAGAGGAATGGCATCACATTCTTCATTCAGAAAGAACACTTCAAGATCTATCTTGAAGTATATTCTAGCATAGGATGTCCATACGTCTCCAAGGAAAACCAGCTCATATCACTATTATTCAAATCTATACACCAACAACTAAAGCCAGTGATGATGAAATTGAAGAA